ACAGAGGCCTCAGAGGAAACCAGCCCTGCTGGCACCTTGGTCTTGGACTTCCAGCCTCCAGAGCTGTGAGAAAATAAATTTCTGTTGTTTAAGCCACCCAGCCTGCAGTATTTTGTTATGACAGGCCTATCAAACTAACACAACCTCAAAAACAGGAAAACAGGGTGGGGGCAAACAGTAGGAGTCCTGCATCTCCTTCTTTAAAGAGTTTCTCTGCCCTTTGGGCTCAGCTACTCAGGTCCTGAATGAAAAGACAAAGCGGCAGTGAGCAGCCCTCTCAGTGCCCGGACTCTGGCAGGGCTCTGTTTCTGCCTCTGGCTTCCCCAGCAGGGCCCCTCCAGCACCAGTGTGGGGAGAAAGCCTCTCATGCCTTCTATGTTCAATAAGCCAGTGTCTGTCCAGAATCAGGTACCACACAGCTGTGTCGGAGCTGAAGAGGTAAGAGGTGCACCTAGGCCCTAGGAGCCCCCCACCCAGAGTCTAGGCTACGAGAGTTGACTGCCACTGTGGGCCATGGTTGTTCTCCTTCTGCATTTCTCAGAGTGCAATTAAATTACGGAAATAACAAATCCCTTACGTTGTCCAAGTTCTTCAAAGTTGACAAATCTCCTTTTCAAAATTGGCCCCAAAGGGGCACTCATGACAAGTACCATTGACATTATTATCACGATTTCACAGATGGGAACGTGGAGGTCCCGAAAGGTTGAATGACAGCAGCTGAGAAGTGGCAGGACTTAGTCCGGGGTTCGGGTCTCTGAGTGGTGATATATAATAAGGACTGTCACGAACTAGAAAAGGGGATGAGGGGAGACACAGGATCGCCTTCTCTCAGTTGAAAGTGAGCGGAAGAAAACCCAAGGGCTGTCCCATCAGAATAAGGGAATGGTTCAAATGGCTTTTCACACCCCAGCTAGTTTCTGGATTTAAACTCAAAGAGCCGTGCAGGCACCTGGAGCGTGAGCTGGCAGACAGCCGAGTGGGGCGTCTCAGAGTGCTTAGGCAGACTCCGAAGGGAAGTGGTGACTGGGGAAGTGAAGCCGTGAGGGACAGGGGGCTTATTCCACCCTTTCTTTTTAAAATGTGAATAATAATCCAGCCCAGGGATTTTCACAGGGTGGCAGGATGACCCCGGTGCCAAGGCAACCACACAGGAAAAAGCCTGCATTGAGTGGTGAGGGGAAAGCATGCTCAGGGGTCAGCACCCCCCCAGACTCCAGGTGCCATCCCCTCGGGCATCTGATGACCATTAGGGTTGCTTTCTCTCACCTCATTTCCTCCCTTTATTATTTTAACATAATACCTGCTATGTGCAAAAGAGTAGGTAACTAATAGGTAAGCAAGAAAGCATGAGGATAAAATGAACTCCAGGAGCACACGGTGACCTCGGTGCTGGGGAACACTGCCAGCAGCCCGCGGCCACCTCTGCATCCCTCTTCGTCTCAGCTGCCCAGAGGCGAGCTTCACCTGGAATTCTGAGTGTAGTCACTGCCTTGCTTTCAAGATAGAGTTTTACCACATTTGCATGTATCTCTAACTAACCAACACATGGTATGGTTTTCGAGCTTTACAAAAATAGTATTAGACTGCATGTGATGGTTCTCTGGGACACTTTTTTCACTCAACAGTATTTCTCCAAAAAAAGTTGAGAAGAAATGTGGATTTGGGGGTAGGCCAAACTGGGCTGGAATCTAGATCCCAGGTACTCTAGCTGCGTGATTGCATACAAGTCTCTAACTCTGCCAGTCTCAGCTTCCTCAGCTGCAGAAATAGGGCTCCTGTTTGCCTTCCAAGGTTATGCAGGGGAGTAAATGAAATGCTGTGTATGAAATGTTCCTGCTGTAGAACAAGTTTTTAAAAATGACTGTGAGCTTTTTTTCTTTCATTTTTCTTCTAGCTCAGGGGAGGAATCACTGATTCACAAGGAAAAAAAAAAGTATTTGTCCTTAGATCATATCATCAACTTTTCTTTAGATTAAGAACTGGGAATGTGAATTTTATTCAATAAGCGAAATAATTACTGAAATATGCACTTCAGTTATATATTATGATTTGCTAATGGGCAGAAGAGGAGTGAAAGGGAGATCTAGTGGGAGAGAAGAAAAAACAGGAAGAGAGACACTATGAATGGGAGGTCACCAACTGTGTCTCTAGGCTTTGAAATGTCAATTACCCATTGTGTGCAGCTCTTCAACTGCTCCAGTCCCTACGCCTATTAAGGTTTGCTTATAATGGGATCCTCTCAGCAGACCACCAAGGCACAGTGAACCCAACAATGTCAGGACGACATCAAGCTGGGAACCAGATGGAAAGAAAGCTCTGTGAGCCCGTGACAGACGGAACCCCTCGTGCCATCCCAGCCCTCAGCTGGGCTCTTCTCATGTGTGCCTACTTTGTAGAGCACAGGACTTGACTTTTCCTTTATAGAGACTTTGTGGTTCACTTCTTCTATGGTATGTCTTTCATTTGCTTCCAAAATAAGGTCTTCAGCAAATAAATACGTGAATGGAAAAGGCAGATGCCATCTAAGATTTGGAATCAGGAAAGCCAGTCAGGTTGACATTAAAACGCAGTGCGCTAAAATATTTATAGGTGCATCAGTGAAATATTGATGCAGCATCCTGGAAACACACAGGTAGATGCTCTGGGGCAGGACACCCTCAGACCTCTTTGAAGACTTGCCTTTTAACCAAGCACAGCTTTCGTCACTGGAAATGTTCCATACTCCTCAGAGCACACCGTGGTCTCATTCAGCCTTGAAGCGATGGTTTGTCAATATGTCCTCCTCAAAGCCAGTGGAACTCCCGCTTCCCCTGGGCCGGCCGTGCTACCCACCTTCATATTGGGACGGTAGCAGCCACCTGCCAGCAGGGAGGCCACGAGGACTGGGTCCGGCATGGAAGCAGTGCAGGTGCCTGGCTCTGGCTGCTGCGTTTCAAAGGCATCCTTGGGCTATGCATCCTTACAGGCCCCTTCTGTCCACTGCCTGGCCGGGTGCTTCCCAAGAGACGCTGGGAAGCCCAGCGGGTGCCATCCAACACCAGAGAACTGGGCTGCGGGGAGGTGATCAATAGGACTTTAAATCCCCCAGACGAGAGGAAAACGAGGAGGGCCCTGTGGGCCCGACAGAGTCCTGCACGCACAGGACTCAGAGTGAGGACGCCTGCAAGGCGGGGCCGCGTCTGTCCCGTTCTCTGTCCTCCCCATGTCCAGGACTGTGCCAGGACCGGTGCCAGCTCACTGATCAACTTGTGGCCCGTGGAGGCTGGCTGCTCAGATGCCCCCAGCCGGCGGCAGTGCCCGCTGCTGAGAGAAGACAGATGGCAGCAAGTGTGACCACTTCTCCCATTTCCAGGAAAGAAGGATGAGGCAGGGAGCAGTCAAGGATAGACGAGAGCTTGTTTAAAAGGAGGCAAAGCGGCTGCTGGATGCTTTTCCTGAAAGGTCTCCCATAGCTTGTCAAGCCGGAGGAAGAGCGCCTCTGGAGGAGTCAGGAAGGCGGGACTTCTGTCCGACGTTTTCACACGTGTGCTGTGTGATGTGGAGCTAGTCCCTTCCTCTCCAGGCTTCAGCGTCCTCCTCTGGAAATGTCGTTGGGTGAAATTCTGAAAGGCTAATCCTGTGGTCGTGATTGGAACTCACACTGCTTTTGTCAAAGCCATTCACTGCTCTCCTTTCTAGCAGGAGGGCAGTCCCCTACCCACTACCACACTTCACTTTCTAGGAGCACCCAGTGAGGTCCCATTCCAGAACATTCCTTGCCGATTTATGTGACCAGCCACAGCCAAGAGCCCCTCACTGGCCCAGGGGCCCTGAACACAGTTCTCAGCCTCCACAAGGCTGCAGAGAGGCCCAGAGCTGGCGCTGCCTGAGAACCACAGGTCAACTCCACAGTGTCCCCAACAGGCTTGCAGGTCCACTTCGTTTCTGCCTGGAAGGCCTTTCTCCTGCTGCGGGGCTCTTTTGCTGTGTGCCCACCCTCTGATGAAGGCAGCTTGGTCCACCCTCTCACACGAGGTGCCAAAACTTGCAGTGGACAAAGGGAAGGTCTGCCTCCCCTTCCCTCCGGCCCTTTGCTTTCTGCCCTTTTTACTTCCTTCCCCTCTCCTTCCTGGTTCACTTTTCCCCACTCACCTTCCAAAACCTTCCCTTTCTTCCCACCTCTTCTGGGGCACTTTCTCAGATTCAGGGCCTCATCCTGACCCTTTTGCTTTCTGGCTTCCAAGGGTCTTCTCTTGGGTTTCTGGCCAGCCAACACCATTCTTTCAGCCTGGAAAGCATGGCCCGGGGATCTGTGTCTGTGAAGGTTCCCTTGCCACACTCACTCACAGGTGCAGGCAATCCACCTCTCTTTCCTCTCCTTTCTCCCTGTGGGTTCTTTGTCCTTCTCTAACCACCTCTTTAAAAGGCCGCCTGCCCCTGTCTTGGCCAGAGGTGGCAGGTGTGTTAGTTTTATAGGGCTGCTTTAACAAAGTAGCACAGACTGCTGGTTTAAACAACAGAAAGGTATTTCCTCATAGTTCTGGAGGCCGAAGTCTAAGATGATGTCAGCAGGGTTTGGTTTCTTCTGAGGCCTCTCTCCTTGGCTTGTAGATGGCTGTATTTTCCCTGTGCCTTCACCTTAGCCTTTCTTCTGTGTCCTAATCTCCTCTTCTTATAAAGGCACCAGTCATATCGGAATTAGAGCCCACTGACCTCATTTTAACTCAGTTACTTCTTTAAAGACCGTATGGCCAAGTATCGTCAGATTCTGTGGTACTGGGGGTTGGGAGACACAACTCAGCCCCTACCACCAGGGGTGATGGTGATGGCAGTAGAGACAGCACAGGCATCATGTGCCGTGTCTGATTTAGGGAAGGGTGTGGAATGTGGGATGCCTTGTGTCCAGAGGGGATGGTTCAATGTGACCTTCAGAGGTACTAGCCACTCAGCACCCTAACCCTGGTGCTCCCCCAGAGTCGCAGAGACATCCTGATGGAGAGAGCCCTAAAAGAAGCCAAGCATCAGCTAAACCAAACGTTTAATAAAAATGAAAAAAGTTACAATACAGTGGGCTGGCCATGGGCTGCTTTAGAAAGTCTGATATGTTGGTCGGCCTGATAAGCTGAGTCCACGTGGGTTCTAGGAGGTCACAGGATTGGTCCCTCAGACCCCAAGATTTACTTCACTCACCTGGCTCGGCCCCATGGGGGAGGCCTCTGTCCTGCTGGTATAATTACTGACCAGGCTGGTTCTGAACTCCCTCATCCTGTGAGGAAAACTGCCTGAGTCTGACCTTCACCCTTGATGACAGTGTTCCTTTACATTGTTTTCTTAAGGCCACGCCCGCACCCCAGGCTCTCAGGTTGGCAGACAGGTGGGAGCCGGATCTGTGCAGGATAAGAGCTTTGGGAATGGCAGCACCTCCTCCACAGGGAACGGCCACAGCTCCCAGTCTCCCGGCTCCCCTGCAAACTCTTCAGAATCCTGCAGACCCGTCTCTCTTGCAGAATGTTCAGGAATGAAGAATGCCTGGGTGCTGGTGACCAACGGAGACCAGGAGTCTGCACAGAAGGAAGCCCTGCTGGGCCTGGGCCTCCCTGGTGGCCCCTGAGAGCCAGGCCGGTTAGGAGGTACTGCTCCTCCTCCGGGAGTGGAGGGCTTTCCTCTTGGTGATGTCCTCCTCTGTGTCACTCTCACAGTTCCTCTGGGAAAAAAGAGAGAGACCCAGGGCAAGAGGGCCATGACATGTCAGGAGTGGGGTTGTGCTGGGCAACCTGGCCTGATACACCCGGGCCGGGGGCCTGCAAGCTGGAGAGGCAGAGGCTGCCGTTCGTACTGAGAACGGGCGAGGGTGGGGAGGGGAGGGGGAGGACCTGAATTGGGGCCAGACCAAATGCCTTGAGACCCTCCTCCCAGGAGAAGGAAAACAGGAAAAGCATCTAGAAGAACCAGGTGCCAGGAGAAGCCAAATTATAATGATTATGAAAATTCTATCTGGTGGCTGCCACAGGATCAAGACACTTGGGTACGTGGTCCGTGTGCTGTGGGTCTCCTGAACTCAGACTGGAGGGGAGGGGGGAGAAGGGAGCCACCGGCACCTCCCCAGCCTCCGACCCCACACACCCTCTTCCTCGACTGGCGTGGGCTGCACCTTGAGCAAGCCTTGCCGGGCAGTTTTTCCATCTTCACGGAAGAGGAATAGTAAAGCCGACTCTGTGGCTGCACCACAGCTGGGGCCCTGGAGGCCACAGAGCCTTTTCTGTTCAGGCCACACTGACCTCACAAACTGTTAAAATTATTATAAGAACTAATTCAGAAAGACTTAAGCAAGTTATAAAAACATCTGTTGTAAGATGTGCAGTTTTAATGCTTCCTAAGCAAAAGAACCTTTTTTTTAAAAAAAAAAAAAAGGGAAGTCCCTCTGGGAAAACATTATAATAGACGTCTAGAACCCGATCCTCTTCTGTTTGTAGGGTGAGCCACTGAGCTAATGATGCTGAGCATTCGAGTAAAGAGAGGACCATCTTTAAATGCTTACACAAGAACAAAACTTAGGATAGAAATTTATAGTCCTTTCAATGCTCTCTGGTCCTGCATCCCCATGGCTGGCTGCTTTATATCAGGGCCACTCAGCTGGGAGGCCTGCATGCACCTTCCCAGAGCCTTCTCTCCCGCCCTGGCATAAACCACCTAGAAATCCAAGGTCAAGATCAACTTCAGCCAAATACATCCTGGACCAAGCCCAGCTATAACAATAAAAATAACTCAAGCTCTGCTGAATAGCAACTTTTTAGCATGCGTCAGAGCCAAACAATAAAAAAGTAAACGGGGTAGGGGGACTCTGTCTGTCATTAACAGGGATTTTCAGGGGGAGGGAGTCCAATCCCTTTTACAGCAGATGAGGAAAACAACCAGAAAGAGGACATCGCTTGGCCAAAGCCACACAGTTGTTTCAGTCCCCTGGAACCATACGTCCTCAAGTCCTGGGCAAGAGCAAATATCAACAAGAGCTCAGACCCTGACCAGCATGGTTCAGTGGGTTGGACATTGTCCTGCAAAGCAAAAGGTCACTGGTTCGGTTCCCGGTCAGGGCACATGCCTGGGTTTCAGGCCAGGTCCCTGGTTGGGGGTGTGAGAAATGCAACTGATGTTTCTCTCTCACATCAATGTTTCTCTCCCTCTCTTTCACCCTCTGTCCTCCTCTCTCTAAAAGTAAATAAATAAAATCTTTTTAAAAAGCTCAGTCTGAATCAAGAGGACCCCAGGATGTGCATGGCGAGGGGCAGGGGGGAGGAACAAACGGGCTGTGCCGGTCTGGCGGCTGAGCCCAAGTGCAGCGTGCTCTCAGGCTGCTCGGGGCTGACTGCCCATCCGTGTCAGGCAGCTGCTGTGCAGCCCGACCCTGAGAAGCAGCCACCTCTGTTCCTGACCTGTGCCATCCCCACAGTCCTGGGGCCCTCACGGCACACAGGGAGCACTGGGGAGCATCTGCCCATGGAACCTCCAGCAGTTGAAACACTAACACTGCATCCAGAAGCACTGTCACTGCACTCTAAAGTCTACAGGAGCATTTTAGCAACGATGAGAACTGCTAATACGTATTGAGTGCTTACATGTCAGGTTCTGAGAATATGTCATCATGTGATATTCCTGACTGCCCAGTGAGGCAGGAACTACTGTTAACCCCCTTTTACAAAGGATAATATTTGGCACAGGGAGATTAAGTAATTTCCTCCAAGTCACACAACTATTAAGGGGGTGACATGAATCCTGGCAGCCTGGCTCCAGAGGCCACATTCTTGATCAGTGTATTATAAGTTCCTCAATTGTAACAATGTAACAAAATGTACACTTGTATAAATGTACATTTATATAAATGTAACAAGGTACATAAATGTAACAAAACTGTAACAAGCTAATCAAATATGATATCTACTTGTTATTAGTATTAATGTTAATTTAAAGCAAAATGGAAATGGAACCACTGAAACATGAATGTAAAGCTCCTGTTCTACTGCAGATCTTTGGATTGTCAGGAATGCATTCTGGATTGCCTTGGTAGCCCCTTTATTCAGAGTCCTTAAAGTCCCCGGCAGGCTGCAGGCCCCCAGGGAAAGGCGGGGGCAGTGCTGTGGCAGCAGCACCAGGCCCACCAGGAGAGGATTCGAGGTTCCCCAGAAGTGAGGCTTCTCCTGGCACCACCTCCGTAGTCCCCCTGAACATGAGGCCTCTACCAATCATACAGTGCAGAGGCAGGCAGGACCAGAACTGGCTGAAAACAGTTAAGTCCCATCCGTGCCCCTTCACCCCTGGGCTCCAGGACACCCCTGACTCCCACCCCAGAAGAGGGCACTGCATTTACACACCAGGTTCTCCTCTGGCCGCAGGTGCACCTTCTTCATCAGGGAGCGGGTCAGGTGGTTACACAGGGAGACGATGCTGAAAGAGAGCTGAGGGAGAGAGAAGGAGTTGCCAGTGGGAAAGTGCACTGAGACCCAGGAAGGAACAAGGAGCCTGCCTGGGTCCCCTGCACCCACAGCCCCCCACCCGTGAGCCCTGACACACCTTCCACCGCCTGCGGACATACTGCTTCTTGAAGTTCTCCAGATTGACCACAGACTCCCTGCGCACCAGGGCTTGCTGGTTGTCCACGGGCTGGGAGACAAAGTAGAGCACAGCAGCTGACACTTGGCTTCCGATGGCAGCCACCCCTCTCTGCAGAACCCCTGACCACATGCCATCCTTAACCTAACCCTGGCACCTTCACGCTGGGCAGGGCATGCAGAGGGACGTCACACTGAGGGCAACGTTTATGGAGGTCTCAGCTATTCAGGGGATGCCCTTGGCACCCCTGAGCTGTTATCCCCACAGCCAGACACACATGCTGGAAGGGATGGAGGCTGAGCCCAGGGAGGGGAAGAGAGGGAGGCAGGGCGTTCAGTCACCATCGCTTGGGGGAAGGGTCATTGTGCAGTAGCCTAGGAGGCCCACCGCCGCACACTGGGCCTGACGGGCCTCAGGAATCAGATGCCTTGTAGGCATGCGGGACATGGGTGCTCCAAAAATAAATGGAAGGAAATAGGGTCTTTGATGGAGGTCAAGAGGAAACAGAACATGCAGGTGCCTTTCACCACCTGACAGTCAAAGCTCAACCTAAATCCTGACTTCTCCAGGAAGCCTGGATGGCTCCTCCAAGCCTCAGTTTTCTCCCCTGTAACATGGGGACAATAAATAACACTGTCTTGGGGTTGTTTAGAGTTAAATGAATGCGAGTACGTGAAGTGCTCGACCTAGAGGTGCTCGATAAAGAGCAATAAATCACTGATAGCCTTCCTGCCCCCTCCATCCTCTCTTTTTAAAATTTATTTTATTTAAAAAGCAGTTTTCTCTCTACCAAAAAACTAAACATATATAATGTATACCATTTGATGAGTCCATTCCCTCTTGGATTCCTCCCATGTTGTAAATAAAACCAGGTTTTCCAAGATTGAGAGACCAAGAGATGGGCTTCAGGGGTTCTTTGAACCTTCTGAAGTGGTTTGTGAATTTTGGTGTGTACATGTGTGCACGAATGCTCCCAGCGGCATGACTTACAGCAGCCCGGGAGCGGGAACAACTGAAATGTGCATGAGGTGACAGTGGAGAGACAGAACATGGTCTCTCCACACAAGGGAATGCTCCACACAGGGGAAGGGAGTACTATCGCTGCTACACCATGAACGAACCTTGACGACACTGCAAGTGAAAGAAGGCGGACATAAAAGGCCACATACTGTGTGGTTCTGTTTACATAACTATGTCCCGAATAGGCAGGTCCATAGTGGCAGATGGTAGACCGGTTGCCAGAGGGTGGACAGAGGGAGAATGAGGAATGACGACTAAAGGGCATTGAGCTTCTGTCGATGGTGACAAAATGTCCTGGAATTATATAGTGATGATTGCTGCCCAGTCTCGTGAATACACTAAAAACCACTGAATTGTACACTTTTAAGTGGTAAATTTATGAAATGTGAATTATATCTCAATAAAAAAATTAGTGTTTATGTACAGATAGACATTGCTTCTGCAGAGTCAATGGCTTTCATGGATTCTCAAAGAACTCTGTGACCTCAAGAAAAGGAACTGCCCAGGACGATCCATCAATTCCCCTCCAGCTGTTTTTCTCTCCGGCAGTAATGCCCCGTCTGGCACCCGAGTGCATGCAAAGTGAGGGAGCTCACTGGTCCCTGCTGCTGATCTCTCTCTCCGCCAGGCTTGTTTATTTATCACGGGTGCTCGCTCAGCACCGGGGGAGGCCTGAGCTTGCTGCTGGCTCACACTGCCCTGGGCTTAAAATCTTCTGGCAGGAGGCCCTCCCCATGACCACCCAATCCCCTCCCCTTGGAAGGCCTCTGTGTGTTTCAAAGCCCAATTCAAATGGGACCTCCTTTAAGACAGCGTCCAATGGACAGTGTCCCTCTCCCCAACATGACCAAACACCTGGGAGCTCCCTTGTCACATATGTCACCTGTCCCAGTCAGCTCTGTAGGGGAGTCATCCCACTAGTGGGAAACAACTTGAGGGCACAGAATTTTCTTCATGTTTTTGTCAGTGTCCCTGGCCCCACCTCCTCCCCACTCAGAGCATACAATGGTGGGTGCTTAATAGTCGCATGGTGAAATTGTTTCCTGAGCTGCTGAAGAGACAAACTGGAATAAAATCCTAGGACCCGGGGCCTGCTCACTCCTGCCAGTGAGAGGCCAGGCACCTGCATCAGCAGTCATGACATCAGACAAGGTGTCCAAGCCCAAAGGTCTCCCACAGCTCTGCCTGGGAGTCAGCAGGGTCCTGGGAGGCAGAGAGGAGAGTGCGCAAACCTTGCCATGTGAAGGAAGGCAAGAAAGGCAGGGCAAGTCACACTCCCAAACTGGAGCACTGTGGTTTGGACCAAAGAGTGCAGGAGGAGAGAAGGAGGGAAAGGAGGAAGGCAGAGAGGGACGAGAAAAGGGCACTGAGGGATGGACCACCAGGCTAAGCTCTTCCAGCTCCTTCCTTAACTGCCTCCCACCTCCCCTGCCACACCTGCAAGCCCAGCCCTGGGGCTGGCTCTCACCTGGAAGGGAGCTGCAAAAGTGGGCGAGCCTGCCTGGTCCTGGTATCAAAGCCTTCCCAACAGCTTCCTGGCACTCTTAACAGAACTCAACAGGCTCACCAAGATCCCCAGGGGCTGTACCATATGGTTCCTTCTCCAATCTGATTTCCTCCCTCTCTCCTTTCTATTGCTGTGGCTCCCATCAAAATGGTCTGCTTGCTGGCCCAGGAATCCAAAGTCTCAAGGTTTTGCCCTTGCTCCTTCATATATTCACTTTGTCACTTTGTTCAGGTCCTTGCTTAAATGTCACCTTCTCAGGGAGGCCTTCCTTGACCGTCCTGTATAAAATAGCACCTCAACTGCTTCACACAATTCACTGTGCCTGTGCCCTATTTCTTCACAGCAGGTCATCTTATTCTTCACTTATTATTTTTTTGTTGTTGTTAGCTTCCCTCCCCTGCACCTCCCAGCAACTAGTGTCTCCTTTCCAAGGTGACTTCCTGCCTCCCCTACCTACCAAAAATTTTTACCTCTAACTTCACTAATGTTTGCAATTCGCCTTGGAGCCTAACCCTTGCAGCGGACACCTGCACTGCACCTGGAGAGTCCGATGAGGCAGGATCAGTAGACTCTGGGAGGAAAGGCACCTCTCTTTCTCCACTTACTAATTGGCGTCCCTACCAGGAGAGAGATGCCTAAACCCCATGGCTGGAAGGTCAACATGCAGGCTAGGGGAGTCCCGTTAATGAGAATCCCATCTGCCAATTGGTCACAGGAGTGTCAGCGACTGAGCGGAGAGGCCCAACTAAAATAGGTATCAGGTGGGACCATTCCCAGAAGCCATTCACAGGAGGTGATACCATAACTTCTGGGGTCCTGTCTATATGCTACACAAAACAGCACGTACCTTGAGGAGGAGTCCATCTGGGCTATAAATCTACCAGCCTGGCCTTTCCTAACTGATGGGCCTCCTTGGTTACTCAGAAGACTTACCAACTGCTGATGCTCTCATCTGACCCTTGAAAGTCAGAGAGACATAAATTCTGCAGTGAAATCTGCTCTCAGAAGAAATGTGGCACTAACACTTTTGATTCAATAGGGAGTGTGAGGGGGATGGAGCTACGTTCTGCCTTCTCCTGACCCCCACCCCCACCTCTCTGCAAACAGACACTGCCCACCCTCCTCGGGCCTGTTGTCCTTCAGGACACCAGAGTCTGGGCAGTTCTGGCCAGGCTCCGAGGAGCACATTCGGTGTCTCAGAAAAATGTCAGGGAGGCAAGAAGACAGAATGCTGTGGCTGAAGTCAGGTTTTGTTTTGCAGATGCAAATGCCTTTGAAAAGGCCCAGCGGGATGTGCTAGGTCAGCAGCCACATTCACGCAGCGGGGAGATGAAGCAGCAGCCACCCTGGCTTTTCAGAAGAGGCACTCCAAAAGATTTTCTCTAAATACCAGGCCTCCTCTAGAAACTGCAAACACATTGCAACTTTTCAAACCTCCATCTGTGCCATTTCTCCAGCCCCATCCTCCACTGAAAGCCAGGGACACCTGAGCACCCTCATCTCTCTCCTACTGGGGCTGTCACTCTAGCCCCTCTCCTCCCCAGTCTCCTTTAATGGAGTCTCTCTGTCGGTGGCCCCTCCACTTCCACCTCTTACTGGCTGTTTTGCTGGCTGAAGCCTGGACCCTGCTGGTTTCACCTCACCTGCTGAAAGGAGCTCAGGATGCTTACAGATACCTGAGCCTCTGCCTCCTTATAAATGGGAGGGGGAGCCACACAAAGGATGTGTCCCTGCAGGTTGTCCCTACATCAAACAAGTCAATGGAAAGAGGCAGGAGTGCCCTTTTCCTTGCCTGGCCTGGTCTCACTCCTCCTAGTTAGGTCTCAGCATGGATACGCTCTCACTTTTAGTCCACGCTCCAGCGCAGTCAGGCTTCTGAGCCATTTCTCGTCCCCAAAAAAAGCTTCAAAGGCTGCCCCTCCTGTACTGTTACAGAAGACAGGAGACCTGAGAGACACAATGAGCAAATGCCTCGAGTGGACTCTGTTTGGACCCCGATTTGAACAAACCAACTGTAACAGAACATCCTTGAGAAAAGTGGGGACGAGCGAGTACGGAATGTGCACCCAGATGATATTAAGGAATTATTCCTGGCTTTGTCAGGTGTGATAGTGGCACCGTGGTAATGTTGAAAGGAAAAACTCTTATCAGAGATGCTAGCTGAAGAATTTATGAGTTAAATAAGTCTGAATTTGCTTTAAAATACTCCAGAAAAAGTCGTGGTGGAGATGCATGAGAGATGACTGGCCACAGCTTGCTCACTCTTGAAGCTGGTATAAGGCACATGGAATTCTCTGTACCATTCTTGACACTTCTGTGCAAGTTTTGAAAATTTCCCATAACAAAAAAACTCTTCCCTTCTAATCTCTGTTGTCTCCTTCTCTTTAATCTCTATGTCACAACCCAGGTCCCTGGCCCCAGTCTGGGTTTACCCCCGTCCTTCCAAATTCCACCTGGCAGCTTCTCCGCCTGCTACAGTTTGGGGTGGGCGGGGTAGGGGAGCATGTGTTAAGCATGTTTCTGC